CTGGTTAGTACTTGGATGGGAGACCACCTAGGAAAACCAGGTGCTGTAGGCGTAAAAAATAAAAAAATAAGTGATTGTAAGCTGACGAGGTCCTTGCAGTCTGTGAGGTCAACCAAGGGTTGCCTTGCCTAAAAGAAAAAATTAATTAAAAAAAAAAAAGTATAAGCATGGTAGCAGCATTATACGTAAAATTCAGAAAGCTAAGGCCTGGGTCTCTAGGGACTGGAAAATAAATCTAGGACACAAGGAGGTCTGAGTGTCTCCACTGGGAATGACTCCCTCCCTTTGGTCTGCTGGTGAACTTAAGCCCCGCTTTGACCACCCATCCACAGATACTAGCTGAAGGGCTGAATAACGAGTATTGAAGATGAAACTACTTGGATAGAGACCAGGCAGCACTTCAGTGAACACATTTATCCAAGGGACTTGATCAAGAGGAAACAGTTGAGGGGGGAAAAAAATCTAGAGAAAGAAATCTATTCAGTTCTACCTAGATTTAGTTTTAACATGGAGCATCCTGTGTGGAAGAAGCCCCAAACATGCCAAGAATATTTTGTACCGCATAATAAATGAAAACCAGCTCCCATGCAGATGGAATTCAGAATATCTTAACCCAACAAATCTGTCTTCCTCCCATTACAGAAACTGCTTTAACTATTCAAAGCAAATTCTTAATTATTTCCCATTCTTGATATGTAAAGGCTTTTTAGAAAGTAGTATGGTTTGACCTATAATAGATGCTTATTAAAGATTCAGAAATTTCATTTAAGCAAAACAATTTATGTGGACTACAAATAAAATCCTTGTAGAGGAAATCCCTCAGAAATCCAATCTCTTTTCTTTTAATGAAATTGTGTTAAAAATGAATAAAACACACCTTCTTCTGTGGGGTCTGTAGCCAAAGCAGAGAAATTTGAGTAAATGTCACAACAGAAAGGAGCACTTTGTGCAGGAGGCCCCACACCCTTCACTCCTACCTCTTCCCTGTTCAGTCTCTTAGATCTTTTCATGGTGGTTTGGCAGCTTTGAGTGGGCTTTAGTCTTCAGGCATCAATTACTTTGTAGTTTAGGTTTCTTGATGCAGATGTTGGGGGAGGAAAGGGATGAAAGACCCTCGAAGGGTAATTGTTATTTGATGGCTGAAGATATGGAAAAACAAAATATGGAAAAACAAAAAACGTGGCAGTAAGTCTCTGCTTGTCCTTCCTCTACACAATGGCACCCATCACATCGCTTCACTGCACAACAGGACCGCGCAACTGTCATGTCACCTGGCGCAAAAGACAGCATTTGCCATTCAAGGCTCACTTGTTGTAGAGCGTGTGACACAACAGATTGGCGAAGCACTGCTTCTCTAAAACAGAAATAGCTTTGTCAGAAAGAATTCTTTTTAATCTGGAGAAATCTGGAGGCCACATTCTATAAGAATTTGTTAAACCGGTTTTTAGAGTGCCTTCATTATTGGCTAAGATTTCAAAGAGAAAGACATCTAGTCTTTGCCATTTGTATTCTGCAGCAATCAAGAAGCAAACATTCAGCCAATCTGAGTACCTTTGTATCCATTTTCCTTGGGTGACTTCTGATTGGCCATGCTAAATAAGGGGGAATTCACAATGTGCTTACATTTCATAAGAGGTTCACTTTTATGATCTCCTTTGACTAAAATGGCAATTATTTTGCTTTCCAAAAGCAGAATCCAATGCACGGGACTAGTGCAGGAACCCGTGGACAAGTGCTGAACAATAAAGTTGAGTCAGCTGCCCCAAATCATCAAGGAGACAATCACTCCCCAGAACCAAGGAGATTTACTAACAGTGAGATAGCCTGCGCTGCTGCTAAGGCAAAGGGTACTGTTAATCTTGAATTACAAATAAAAGGGGAGGTGTCAGAATTTACCCCAGGCTTCCCTTCTTTTGAGTATCCTGCAAGTTCCTATCTATTGTCTTCCTGCTCCTATATTTCTGGTTCACTATTTAAATTCCCATCAGAATCATAACTAAGGCAGGCTGATAGATAGCCAGGGACCCTCCCATCTTGTCCAGTAGTCAGGAAATACAGGCAAGCTAAGGAGATGCAAATCTTGTTCAATGTAGCTAATACCTGTTTAACCCTTAAGCAAACGCCCCAAAACTCACTCTTTTGGGAGGTTTTATAATATAGCTTTGACACCATTGTTGAATGTGCAACACTAATTTAAATAAATTGCATGTGGTCAGCAAAAGGGACAGTTCTTTGTTTAGTCTGGGAGGCTAGATTCATGATTAAGGAGACCAGATCTCATCCTCTTAATTAAGGTGAAGCTCAAGGCTATCTATCATTTTACCCTCCAGCAATGCCCCCATTATGGGTCATTTTGGTGCTAGCCCAGTTGCTGCTGATGGCTTGGTGGCTGGGAAAGGAACATTATAGGAATAAAGCCGATCACCGAATAGTCTTAGGGTTGGGTAGCAAATGTCACTCCACTCGTGTCATGTTGAAAGAGCCAAGAACACATCTTTCGCTGCCAAAGGAAGCAAATCTCAGGTCAAGGAACCACCTCAATTCCATCCAGAAGTGGTCGTAGCAGGACTACAGAAGAAGGTTCTGCCACAGCCCTTTGACCTGGTTTCCCAGGTGAGGAAATCAATCAACAGTTTGCTAATGTCTGAAGGTTCCACCAAGACTTGAAAATCCCTTCAAGGTTTATGCTCTGCCTTTTACGCTATTGTACTTTTCAGATCACAAAGCTGGGAGATTGAAACATTGGATTTGTTAAATAAGTCCTATTGGCTGACAGCCTGGGCTTCAAAAAACATCTTTCTTTTCTTCTACCTGATTGGAAAGAACAAATTAAACACAAGTGGGTCTATTTAATCTTTTACATTTTGGGTCATATGTCAGAGATCTCTTTTCGGGAGTCTTAAACTGAGAGACTCCATTTTGTTTGCTTCCTGGTCCTCAAAATCATCATCCCTGAAAGTCAGCAATGAGAGTTCTGAAATGTTAGTCTTGATCTTAATGGGAGGATAAGCAGGTCAGTAGGACTTGATATTTTGGTTTAAATCAAATGCCTCTCTTGATATTTTGGTTTAAATCAATGACTACATTTAAACTAAAACAGATATCCTTCAACAGCAGGCATTCTGAATTCTGAAACCTGAGAAACATTTTACAATAAGGAGATGTGATTTAAAAGGCTAATCACCTCCCAGAACTCCAATTGCCTCTAGCATATTTCTACAAATTGCTCCGGTTCCAAAAGCCTGCACTTCTTAGGTTGATTCATTTCACTGCAGTGAAGGTGGAAGCGAATCTGTATCCAGAGCTTCCATTCCAGCACTTTTAAACTGTCATAAGTCAATAAAGATGCTGACAGATACAGTATTTTTGTCCTACTCAAGTACAAATTCTCATCTTCCTGGCCAGCCCTTCTGCCTAAATAAATTTCCTCTAGGCATCCAGTATGTTATGCAAAAGAAGAATGTATTGAAAATTCTAGGGTGAGGATATTTCCGTTCACGGGTTAAGATGAGATTAATAGTTTTACAGAAGAGGAACATTTATTAATAAGATACAATATCTGCCAAAAAAAAAAAAAGGATATTTGCCAACAGAAGCTCAGTTTCTCAGTTTGAATTTCCACTAAACTCTCAAAAAAAAAAAAAAAAATACATAAAAGCTGGGTGGCTAGTAAACAGTGGCTCTGTGCCCCTAGAGATACTCCCCTTCCTTTTCCCTGTATCTACTTATCTCAAAGGTTGAGTTGCACTACCAATTCTTCTAAGACCAAACACTATCCATCTCAAAGACCATTCTCTTTCAAAGAAAATAATAAACTGAACTCACAAATGACTTGCAGGGACTCTTTCAGACTTGCCAATTAGCAGGTCAGACTAAAGGTCTAATACATAAGAGTATAAGAAATAATGTTGGTGATGGAGCATGATAGTAACTCTGCCTTAACTCGAGGCTTTGAAGATAACGGTCTCAGAGAGGCTTCTCCAACAGACATCCTAGAATGTATTTTCTCATGAAACCTAAAAGGAAAACCATCATCGTTCCAATCTGCATCATTAGCAGCAGCATCAAAAGCATCTTGCCAGCACCTGCCAGCACAAACCTGTAGAGCCTGTACAAACCAAGCTAAAATTGTCTTTTGGGAATTTGTCATCCAAGATGGATTGGGGGTAAATCAAACAGTGTCATTTTTAGTGGAGTGGTGTTATCTCCCCAAGTTTCAGGGTTTCAGGTTGGCATTTTCAAAGGTTCCTTGTGCACTGCTGTGTTTCCAGACTGGGATATTGCCACTGAACAGCCAAATTCACACAGGAGCACCTGGTGAGTTCCAAGTTTCTGCTGCTCAGAAAAGGCCAAATGAACACATCACTCCTGAGCCCCAAGGTAAATATCCAGCTCCTTTCCAGAGTAGTCCGTGAACAGAAATTCGAAGGACAGAATTCAACCCAAAGGCAGACCAAAGAAAAGGTCAGAGTGTCTGCTGTTAATTCTTAAGGAGATGCCCCGACCCATTTATGTGCAGTATCTTATCAGAAGTTCCTTCCACTTGTGTTTCAGTATGAAGTAGAAATAACAAGCTGACCAGACAAGCAGGAAACCATGAAAATCCACATTAAAATGATAGTGCAAGAAAAATATTTCAAGATGTAGGCGTCACATTTCATTTTGAAAGATACAGTGGAATTTCCAACGGAGGATGTAATTGACATGGATATTTCCAGGAAAATAAAGGCAGGATTTGGAAAAATGTTCTGAGAACACTGATAAGGGGACGCTGCCCAGGTAGTATCCTAGATTCCATGATCCAAAAGAGTCGTGCTATGTACCCACGCGGGACAGCATAGAAAAGGGTAGAGAGAAAAGGGAGGCTACCAGGGAAAGAACGTGAAGATCCGAGGGTGAAAGAGATCTGCTGTTCACCCGTCGGTACCCAGTCCAGGACAGGACTGAACTATCTTACCATGAAGACATTTCACTTGTGTAGGCGGCTTTGCCTTACTTACCCTAAGAGAGGAGGGAGGTGGAGTTTTTGTAGTGTTTCAAGTCAATCCTTAACTGCTAGAGGCATCTAAATTTGAAGAAGGAAATGTAAAGGATTCAATCAAATGCCTTTCGTCTTTGGTTAAGGCTGTGGTAGTCAAAGTGTCCTGAGTCATTCCTGTTCTTTTGTTTCTTTCAGCTGAAGGGCAAGTAATAGGTTTGCCAAGGATGAAGTAGAAATCTGAGACTAGAGGTCAAGTAGAACTGGGAGGCGGTGAACTGAGCACAATACCTCCTCCCACCCCCTGGTAAAGGAACCCGGAAATGCGACTTGTCATGCAAGAAGCCCATAACAATATTTTCAAAATACTGACGTAAAAGTTAATCTCCATTTTTAGAAGGAAATGGGCTAAAAAGCGTTCAGTGAAAAAAGGCTCGTAGGCACGCTGCCTAAGAGCAACAGCCTCTCCCACCCTAAGGACTAACCTAATGTTCCCATGCCTGGAATTCTGAGTGCTTTAAAATTAACTGTTGGAATCTAAAGCTGTCTCTATTTCATAAATTAAGGCTGGGGATTTCTCAGGGGAGGAAAAGGGTGAAGAAGGAACCAGTTGCTCCGTGGAGGCCGGACTGCAGGTGGGAATGAACTTGGGATTCATAGAATGCTTTGAATCTGACAGGCATTTCAAGCCACAGACTTCTCCCACCATCCCAGCCTTTTACCTCATTTACCAGCAGCATGAAGTTTTCAATACCGGGCAAGCATTTTCCAGAATACATCAATCGAAAAGAGCCCCGAGAAGCCTCAAAAATCAAACATCTCCCGCCTCTGATAAGCCAGACTGTAGTATGAACTTGGGCAGAGGATAAGAATGGAGGCTAATAGGAAGGAAATCTAGCTGGCTAGTTACTTTTAGAGAAACAGCCAAAATTTAAGAGAAGGGGTGGAGGGAGGAGGAGGAGAAGACACAGTTTTCAAAAATTATTAAAGTTTCTGCTTTAAGAACGCAGAATATCTTTTTTTTTTTTTCCTTTCTCGGTGTAAAATGAAGTCAAAAGCTTTCCTTCCAAAGCTCTGCGCATGTATTTCAGGAATGGCGGAGGGTCCCTGTCCCCGGGTGGATCTCCGCTGGCCCGGCTGAGAGCGAGGCAACGTCAAGGTTACCCCCCCCCCCCCCGGCCGCCCCCCCCCGCCGCTCCCGCCGGCGCGGGCTGCTGCGCACCCAGCCGGGATCCGGAAGTGGATTCTCTGCAGGCTCCGCGCACACCTCAGCGCCCGGACCTTGCCCCGGGGGAAGGCTCCAGGTGGGGAGGGGCCGGGCCCGGCCCACTGGCGCCAGCCCGCACGCTCAGCGCCCGCACGCTCAGCCCCCGCACCGCAGCCCGAGCC